TACGATCACCAAATAATATCATAATATAATTCTATGGTATTATTATAATACATACCTCTTAGATATTAATACATCATCCCCCCCCCCCCCTCCTCCCCTTCCCCTAGTGGTGTTATGGAATTGAACTTCTTATTGCGGTCAAATATTGAATTCGATATTTGATGGATAAAGTTATTCGATATTTATATTAGTAGGAAGGTGATAAAAGTTCTTAAAAATTAATCAAGGTTTACTTGCTATTAAACTAGAGTTTACCTTGAGCGCACTAAAGAATAGCGACTGCGGATTTCCTCGTCAGAGCTAATAGGATTAATGGGCTTAGGTCCAAGTGAGTGGCCCATATCAAGATATTACCAAGTTTGTTATCTCTTTTTGGGCCTAAAACATTCTCTTTTTTCTTGGACTAACCCAAAATAGTTTCTCTTATATTTCTGTTGAAGTTTGGCATATATTTGCCTTTTTCCTTTTGGAATTTTACTTTACTATGGTACTATATGTTACATTCAAATAACCATATGTTCTTTTTACTCATGGTACTATATATTACATTCAAATAACCACATATTCCTTTTACTCATCAAAATAATGTTTTTACAACAAACTAGATTGTCAAAAAGAGATACACTTATAATTATCTTAAATTCATGGTTCAAGCTCATGACACATATTATCTGCTTTGGCCCAACAAAACTCACATATTTGTCCCTTGTGTATGCGGTATGTGTTCATTGACCCCAAAAGCGTACGTTCATGCTATGTACACTTATTTTGTGCCTTATAAAACTCTTTACTTTCTTCTCTGATTTCATTGAAGGACTCATCGAAGGTATCATGTTCACCCCAACCTTTTTAGAAGCTTGTCAGTCCTTCCCTCTGACTCATCCTCATTAGTCATCAATTTGTCCTCCATCATAAGCATCATACACTTCACCTTTTTAGAAGCTTGTCAGTCCTTTTCTCTGACTCACCCTCATTAGTCGTCGACTTGTCCTCCATCATAGGCATCATACACTTCACTCATGGACTTAACGTCCTTGCTGAGATTTACTCCACTTCTGACACCATATTTGTCACGGTCCAAGATAACACTATCAACCGAAAAAGGAGCGTGTGGATATGAAAAGTTAATGAATCAAAAAATAGAAAAACAGATATTGACATGGCACATCATGTTATGTCACAATGATAATTAGCAAAATTTGTAAGAGGTGATCAAATATGGATTCCGACATGATCCAAGAACAAAGCACAAAAAGAAAAGAAAAAAAGAACCACAACATGTGCTTACCTTTTATTTATGTCTAGTGCCTATCTTCTAAATATATCAACTCTTTTGTCTTCTATCTATGTCTCTATTTCTAACATTATATTTGATGTGAGGAAAAATAACCTGTTTATTATGCTGCTTCATTATATTGTTATTTCTAAATAATATATAAGTACTCCGTCTGTCTTAATTCAATTGTTCTATTCTAATTTGACATAAAGTTTAACAAAGTAAAAAGATTTTTGAGTCTTACGATTTTAAATATGTCATATGAAAAGTTATAATTAAAGAATTGTCACCTGACCAATTTATGTTAAGTATATACACGTCTTACCTCCAATTATTTTATTTTTTTAAAATAAACTACCAGGTGTTCAATATTTAAATGTTTGATTAATTTAAATTCATGCAGAATAAATCCACTAAGGAGGGTAAACACTTAATTCCCACATGACATGTTTTTCATTTTCAGTACTCGACCGGTGGTTTAGTTATCGTTTGATAATAGATTTTGAACATTTATCTTTTATTATCCGTTTAATCATGAAATTTGATCTTCAAATATTTTCAAGTTCTCACAGACAGAGTTAAACTAGATTTTGGGTTTTAGCGACTTCCACTCACAAATTTCAGATTTTTTCTAAGTAAAATGCATGTTCTAACACAACTTCAAATTTCATAACAACTTCAAAAATACAATTTTAAAATTTCAACATCAAAATTTCTGACCAAACAGTGACATAGATTAATCACCTAGACATTTTGGTTGATTTGGCATGCCTCTACCTGTAAGTAGAATTGTCAATAAGGGTTAGCCAAGCCTCACGGGCCAAGAAATTTGATGGGCTAGGGTGAACCGACCCTTCATTTGAAAGGGCTTGAAAATGTTCAACCCAACCCAACCCTAGAAGGGCCTCGAGCTGGGGCTGGCCAGCCCTTCTTTTGCTCTTATTTTCAAACTTAAAATTCTATAACATCAAGAAAATGAGAAGATTTTCAAATCAAATGTACCAAACAATTGTGTTGTTTCAATATAACACTAGCAAAAACTCTAGTGTGATTAGCATGTATCTAGGATACTAGATACGCGAGATACATGAATTTGGTATGATACATCCCAGATACACGAGCAAGATAAAAGAGTGACGAGCGATATGGGAGGGAGGCGAGGGTGTGGGATTTGTCTATGTATCCTAGATACATGCAAATCCACTTGGATAGAGTGTATCTAGAACAAATTACACATATTAAGTCCATGTATCCTGAGATATATGTATCTGGACGCACCAAAATCTGGAAAATTTCGTAATATTACAACAAATTGTGCATCTAAATAATTAACTCATACACTAGTAGATTTCTGTAAGTTACTCTTAAATAAATAGTTCTAGCCCATGAACCGACCCCAACCCGACCTCAATCAAGCCTCAAGGGCCAATGATTTATAAGAGCCGGACTTATAAGCCCTAGTTTTAAATGGGTTTGAAAAAATTTATTTCAGTCATATCCCAATCGCGAGTTAGATTGGACCGACCCCATGGGCTAAACCCATTTTGAAGGCTCTACTTGTAGGGATGACAAATGGAGCAGGGTGAGACATGATACTTGGTTAGTTGGTTTACTAGTGAAGTTTACTAAATATTCCAACCATAGTGTCAAAAACTAATTCATATATATATTATTATTTTTTGTAATTTGGATGATTTTAAAGTAATTAAAGAGACAATTAATTTAGTGATCCTTTTTGTTTCCAAGACCAAATTATAATCTTCCTATCTTGTCAACTTATATTATGAATGAAAGTTGTGAAAAATAAAAAAAGGTGAAGGACATTAAGTGGAGAAAGCCAGGCTATAAAGCAACTCATAAAATCAATTTTTTTTTCCTTTTTTATTTGTTGCTTTCCCATACAACATGCAGTCTCTTCTTTGTCCAAAAAATAATAAAGTAAATAAAACTAATTACAAAATGTATTTTGTTTCTATTTGCTAGTGGTTAACCAACTCAGGACCCATATATTCGACAAAAAGTTCACTCTGATGTGTTCATTTATAAATTATTTATTTATTATAAAGTTTAAATCTTGTACATCATCATATATTGTCTATATATTTATAGACCAGAAAAACATGAAATTTGATAGGCTTAAAAGATATATTAGTAATTATTACAACATATGTAAAAATTATTTAGATGTATATTAATTAAACTATTTATTATTCGACAGAACATGATGCAACTTCATATTATCGAAGACACGATTCTAGATAGAAAGGAGTGGAGGTCGTGTATTAGTGTGGACGGCTAGTAGGGAGTGAAGGGGTATATGTCTTGTCATGCGCAGGTTTAGACTTGTCAGTGTTTTGTCGTGTATTAGTCATACCCTTATAGTTTGTCATATAATGTGTATTATGTTTTGATTATCACACTATTTTGATGTTGTTATTGTTTCTTCTTGTAGGCTTTATATTGTCTTTCTTATTATTGACTATGTTTTTTTTTCATTGTTTTTCTCCTTTTACATGGGTTTGATACACTTGATGAGTCAAGAGTCTTCCATAAACAGTCTCTATACCTCGTTGAGATAGTGGTAAGGTCTGCGTACACTCTACCTTCACAGACCCTACAGTGAAATTCCGCTGAATATATTATCAGTAATATATATAGTAAGAAATATGTAGAAGAGTAGCAGTTGAACAGTTGTAAATTATAATATTATATTATATTATTTATAATAATTTAAGGACTCAATCATTAAAAGGTCCGGGAAATTTGGGTTGTTATGGCTGTACGGTATTTTCCATTTTTTTCCCTTTCAAAATATAATAAATATAATTGGCACTATTTATTATAAGTGCGATCCAACTAAAAAGGGAATTTAATTCATATGGAAAAGTTTAAAAAAAGTCATAATGGTAAAAAGAAAAAAAAGATCTAATTTTTCTTGACTACATGCTATTTTTTTGTTTGGACATTGTTAAGGTGGAAAAATGGTATTGTATAATACAATCATATTTACAAGAAATTAAGACGTATATTCATGACTCATTATTACCGGACAATATATCAATTATTCATAAATTTTAATATATACGTATCGATTTTTTATTTAAAACTTATTATGCTATAATTTTTTTTATTTAAAGTGTTCAACTGACTATCTTTTACCACATATGGCTACGCAACTACCTCCAAGGTACGTTAGCAACAATTGATTCATTATTTATCTACTACTATAAATTTTGTGCATCGTCAGTATACATAACTTGTAAACTACTAGGCAATTTCTAAGGTAACACAATGTTTAATCCTAGTCACATCAAAAAAAACATTTCACATCATGTATGAATGTTTTCCAATAAAAAGGCTATTATTACTCACCTTATAAGACTAGGAATTAGGATGATATGCCTTTGGACAATTTTTATAGGTTTTTGAACATGTGCATGATTTTAGCCTAGACAAAAACAAGACAACAACTATTTCATTACAACCCTCACCAACAAAAAGAGAAAATAAAGTAACATTATTAATATCCACGTCACAACAGTTCTTAGATTCCATTGCCCCCTTTTATGCTTTTTTTTTAAAAAAAAAAAAATAAATTAATATTTTTTTGAATAAATAATTTTATAACAAATATTCCTTCAAAACTTCTCTATATAAACTACTACCATAGTCCAAACTAATTCGTTGAGCCTTCGATTTTTTTTCCCTAATATAATTACCAATAATGATCACCTCATACCCCTCCGCCGCCACCGCCACCGCCACCATCACCACCGTTGATTGCGAGAAACAAGTCCGTTCGTGGAGACTCCTCCGTTCTCTAGTGGAGTTACTCATCCCTAGTTGTTACTGTACGTTTGTTGAACCTACAGAACCTGTCCAGAGTAAAAAACCTGTTTCATCTTTTAACTATCATAGACCATCATTTACCTCGAATACAACAAATATTACGGGTACCATTTTCGGGTATCGTAAAGGAAAAGTCAATTTTTGTATCCAAACAAACCCTAATTCGTCTACCCCGCTTCTTCTCCTTGAACTCGCGGTTTCTACTTCTACCCTAGCGCGTGAAATGCGTGGAGGGCTACTAAGAATCGCGCTTGAAAGTTCCAATAACGGTGGTGGAAGTGGAAATAATGAAAATTCTTCCCTTCTGTCTATGCCTGTATGGACGATGTATTGTAATGGAAAAAAAGTAGGGTTCGCGGTTAAGAAAAAACCTACAAAATCCGATTTACAAGTGTTGAATCAAATGGAAAGTGTAGTTGTTGGTGCTGGCACTGTTCATGGTAAAGAAATTAATCGCGATGATGATATAATGTATTTAAGAGGAAAATTCGAAAGGGTTCATGGATCTTCAGACTCAGAGTCATTTCATTTAATCGATCCTGAAGGAAGTATGGGGCAACAACAATTGAGCATTTTCTTTCTTCGCTCTCGTTCTAGCTGAGCTGATTGTGATGTGTGAATCAGCTTGAGCAACGTGCAATTTTTTGCTAATTTTTTTTTCCTCCTAGATTATGAGTTTTGTGCTTTGGTGTTGCCATGCAACACCCCATGTGTTTTTCGAGCTGTGTTTTTTGGCATGGCTTTTTTTTTTATATCCCTTATAGGGATATTTAATTTGTCATGGGGTGTGTATGTTGCAATTACCAAAGGTGAATATTTGTAAAAATGTAATTAATGGAGGACCATTTTAGTTTATATATTTTCCTTTTTATTTCATTAATATCGTGATTAATTTTTTTAATTGTTACACTAAATAGATGTCATAATTTACTCAAAATTTGGTGGGAATTAATGCCCATTTGAATATTTAGGACTTCAAGATTTACCTAAGTAATATAACTGTTCATAAATATAACAAGTTAAATTACATTTATCGAATAAAATTCTTTTAAAGCGTTATTAATGTATACAACAAGTTAAATCCAAAAGCGAAAAAACAAATGTTGAATTCTTATTGGAATAGTGAAAGTTCATGCACGCAGTGTAAAGCTTGCTAGTTGTTTTTTGGCTAAACTTGTCCCAATAAATTTTTGATTTTAGAAAGGATAGGTAAACGTAAAATCAGAATTTTGAATTTATATGTTTTAAATTTACTTTCTATAAAAAAATTTTTATTGGATTTTAGATAAATTATTTATACATATTACGTGAATTTTTAGCATAAACATAAGATATGGACTAACGTTCTGAACTCGTAAATATAAGTAGTGTACGTAAAAAAATTGGACTATCGAGTTAACTTGACCTATAACAACAAATAATTAATAATTTATTATAACATGATAAACTTAATTTTAGATTCTCAGGATAATCTGCAATCGCTATAATCTTTGCCACAATCTCTGCCCTTCGGATGAACAATTTGTGCGCACTGGATAAATCTCCCACTCTATAAAATTTGATAGTGTAAATTTTTTTGATATTTTATATAGCCGACATCTTATTAATTTGTGATTATCATAAGAGAATAAAATCTGATTATGCTACGATTAATTAGTACATATTTGACATGGCAAAAATATGACCAACTACCAAATTATCCTAAGATCCTTTTTCATATCTACAGATCAAATATATTAATTAGTGATAGCTAATTAACTTATGTAGTTCCAATAGTAGAAATCATATGTGATAAACAAAAAAGAATATAGACATGTTATGAGAACAAAATGAAGAATAAAGATCAATGTTTGGATGGCTGAAATATTTGAAACAATTAATTTAACTAATCTTGTAAAATTCGTAAAATTAATACATCTCATATGCATGGATAATGTGTCACTTATGACACACTAATGGTAATGACAAATATGGATATTTATAATCAATAATAATATTCTATATAAATATCCTTTAAGATTTTAACGACTCTGAATGCAATGGCATCAACTCAATTGTCGTTAAGTATTTCTGCTGCAATATAAATGAAAATCTATTGCCACTAAATATCTCATTTGTGTAGTGATGGACGACGAGTCGTCAAAGAGAAAAACGACAAATTTTTAGATTGATAAGCTTTTGAATAAGGGTACACATGACATCTTAGACGTATCTCACATCAGAAAGCAAGAGAAAATTAAAGAATTTTTTAAAATTATACTACAAGTTCACATGGTATACACCATATACACTTTTGAACTCGACGATAGCATAGCACAAGGAACAATTTCATGAGGTCGTTCACTTTGGGCTTGGGTCGTGACAGTCTAACAGATAATGTAAAGAAGTTTTACATTATTTGGATTACTAATTTCACTTGTTATGAATAATTATGGATTTTATATATTTTAGGTGATCTGATAATATAAATATTTTTACGATTTTTCCACGAAAAAAAGAGAGTGAAAGGATGTGATATAATGTTGGGATAGTGCTTCTCTGATTTGTTTTTTGTATTTTTATTTTTATGAGCTGTTTTGATTCCTTTTGTCGTTAAAATAAAAATAAAAAGCAAAAAAAAGAGAGAGTAAAAAGTTAGATTTGTCATATAGGAAGAGGGATGCATATGCTCATATATATTCAATCATTTTGGTCAATAATTTCCTCTTTTTTTTCATTGTTTAATTTGCTTTTTTCCCTTCCTTTAATTAAATCTTTTAATAGTATATATATTAATTGGTTAATAGACATAACACGTACGATCTTTTCTCTATTTATTTAGGTGAATAAAATAATATTAGTATATAATTGGGAGAATTAAATTGAGGCTACAAATTAAAGAAGGAAAAGTTAGTGGAAAAGATCAAGATATTGTATTATAGTTCTATTGGTTAAATATTTAGAATATATTTTGTTTTATATATTTAACATGGTACCTTTTTTTTTTTTCCTAAATTATCTTGAAAAAATGAGAAGAATTACTCGAGAAAAGTTATTTTATGTTATATATCTATAATTAAGTGCACAATAAACTCAGTGGATAATGAATTCACCTCTCTAATCTTTTCGACTTAAAAATAACAGGCTTTTAATTCTCCACATGCTAGATTTAAACTCCTGATGTGTGTTCTCTTGCATTTGAATGCATTTAGCTGACATGTTATGTGTTGTGCTCTTATATCTTAATCAAATTCTTTGGGGCGAACAAAGACAAGATTGTTGAGTAGAGACCAATGCAAATATATACTTGTCAACATTTTTTTAAAACTTGTATAACGTAACAGGACTAACTTGCACACACCTCAATTGATCCCTGTCCTTCAAGAAATTGTTGTAGGCTTGTAGCTTTTATATATAATGTCAAGTCATCTAGGTGCATGTAACACATGAAAGCTTCAAAGGTGAACAATATATTTCTCATATTTTTGGCAAATGAATACAACAACATATCTAGTGTATAGTGCTCTGGACGTTGAAAGAATTTACGATATCTTTTCTCATAAATATTTGGCGAATCAATGAACATTCTTATCGAGTTTTACAATATCCTATCGCGTTGTGTGTGTGTGTGTGCTCACCTCCATATTTGCAAAAATAGTTGGAGCTGAAGGTAGATTATATCCCGCGAAGAATAGTTGTTTCTCAATTCCATCATTCATACCGCTGGATTCAAAAGACTTCTTTGGTTCTTCTAATGCATAAAGCTCCAAATGCATGCCAATCCAAGCAACAATATAACTCTAGGTATCATCTTCCTTGGTGAAGTACCTGCATACATACCTTCTCGAACAAGTAAAAACGGAGAAATTACAAAGATAAAAGGCACTAATCTTCTTAATAACCCGAAAACGCCTCTTGTAATCCTAGTTGTACATGCTTATACAGGGGCGGAGCTTTGGTCAAAATCCTGTATTTGTGTTTAAAAATCCATTTTAAGACTTATAAATAATTTATCCAGAATCCAATAAGTCGTGTTTTCTAGCATCTCTAGAACTTATAAACGCAAAACCCTAGCTCTGCCTCTATGCTTAACTTACACATTGAGAAGTAGATGTTTTCGATTAGGTTGAGCCAGCATTGAGGCAAGTAAGGTTAGTTTTATACCTGGTTGCAGTTGAAGATAATTGTTCCGAATACTCCACTCGAAATCCCAGTGCTGTTTTTTGCACTTTAGTGTCCAGTAAGACCATCCAAAAGAGGCTGCATTGTATATATCTAACTGAACTCTTCCGAAATCCTGGTAATCTGCTAACGAGCCATTAGTCACGTTCCATTCGTTCACCCACTCACCTGAAATCGGTTAAATTCATGTCAAGATATCACAATTCCGAAATGTGGCAGTTGAAAGTTGGTCCTAGTTCACTTAACCAAAGGCGTTGCGAAAGGAAAGAAAGGATATATTACCAACAAACACCAATGGTCCGTTGGCGCTATTCAAAGCCTGTATTTGAGATTGTCTGTTTTTGTATAGAAATTGAATGTTCTCCGACGAGGTCAGTTTATCAAAGTATCTGTCGAAAAGATTGTAGTAGTGCAGATCAACTACTGTGTTTGATGAGCCTATGTTAGCTTGATAAAGTTCAAATGGATCTGCATTTCCGATTCTTTGGCAAAATATCACGTAAGCTGTTGAAGAATATTTTCGAACAATTTGGTATCCCTGTTTATAAAAAGGCACCAGAATATCCAGTGAGACATCTGCAGCAGATGGCTCGTTTAGAAGCTCGATTCCTAGCAAGGCAGGATGCACAGCATACCTATGATGTTCATGAGTTATAATACGGAGATATTTACCTTCAAACGCAAATACATTGTAAGAAAATATTGAAAGAGAAAGGGTGTGTGAGCACACTACAAGAGACAAGATTACTTTGAAGATATGAGGCAAGGTGGGAGTAGCTTCAGTGGTGGACAAGATGCGGGAAAATTCAAGTAAATATGCAAAATCTTGGCAATGACTAATGCTCATGGCAAAGCACGGTTGATAGATTTGTGAAGAATTCGTTAAAATCTACCTGGAAGCTAAGAACTCTATAGCATCCAATGTTTGCGCGATGTGTTCTCGAGATGTCTGCCAGTTAACTGTGCCATCTCTACTGGCACTATGCTCCATCCCATTTTGGGAACCTGGGGCAGCGTGAAGGTCGATTATGCACTTAATGTTATAAGCTCTGCGAATAGAAAGAGATCAAATGGCTGAAAGAAGGGAAGAAATCATAGAAGAGTATAATGAAAAAGCAGAAATCAAGACCTACTGCGCCCACGAGAATGCATTATCAAGAGCTTCTAAGCTTCCACCAATAAAAGGAGCCGGAGGATTTGAATCAGAAGCTATCCACCAGCCAACAGGAATCCTAACAGTATTTATTCCGTGTCTGTACAAGAAATCGAAGTCATCTACAGTGATGAAACTATTCCTATGCTTCTGCAACATACAAAAACGGAGAGAAATACAATGAACTTGTGTCTCACTTACATCCGATAAATAAGTGAACTAAAAGCAATAAACGTGATCAATTTACCTTAAGAACGTCTTTTGCCTTGTTATGCCCATATCCATTAGCAAGCTGGTAATCCCCTTGCAACTTTGCCACAAACGTCATCTCAAATGTGGCTGGATTATCATCCCAACCTGGTGTCCCCGGAAAGTCTGCTGTGAGAACATTGTCATTTGAAGCCTAAATGAATGAGGTAGAACACAATTACAGCAGTTCTAGTAGAACTCTTGATAGACATGAATGTCAGTATGGCAACATACTAAAGCTGGTGCACACGAATATACTTAACAATATTTTGACCATCCATAGGACTACACCTCTAACAACAACAACAGCATACCCAGTGTAATCCCACTAGGTGAGATATGGAGAGGGTAGAGGGTAGAGTGTACACGGACCTTACCTCTACCTCATGGAGGTAGAGAGGTTGTTTTCGGAAGACTCTCGGCTCAGGACTACACCTCCAAGGCTAGGAAATTTCAAAAAGATTACAGATTATTCCACAAAAGCATAAAGTAAATTTCACTGGCACTTGAAGAAAGGACGAATATTTGCAGCGCACTGCAAGAAAATGATTTGTAACCAGTACAATGAACCATACACGGGGTTTTAGGGAAATATTGTGCAGGATGTAATTCATCTACACCTCCAAAATAATTAGACTAGAAAAAGTGGATGAGCCTTATTCGTCATCAAGAGCAACAAAATAATATCATAGCTCCTACAACCTAGTGCATAAACAAGATTATTCCATGATTGCAATCCTTCTATGTAAATAGAATTAATGGTAAAAAAAAAACACCTAAAGTAACCGGCTGTTTTTTGAGTTTCATATCTGAACTATCATGTGTGCGAGTTGTCTACCTGACCAATCACCAACTATTTATCAAAACACACCTCAACTATCCATTGTTCCCTTTTCCTACCTGAAATATAACCATCATTCAGGTGTGTTTTGGGAACAATTGATAGTTGAGGTGTGTTTTGATAAATGTTGGTAACAAGTCAGGTATGAAATTCGCACACCTGGTAATTTAGGTATGAAACTCAAAAAACCGAGGTACTTTAGGTATGTTTTTGACCTTCACTCATGTACATATAATATAAACCATGAAAAAAGGCATAGAATTTTCTTATATCAAATATGCTTAATGTATCCCACAATAGAGACAGACAGAGAAATAAAGAAAAATGAAGATGTGTTATCAAATGAATTCTGTAGTTACAAGAAGTGCTTCTGCCAAATGCAAAAGTTAAAGAAATGTGAAATTACCTGTATATAAGTTCCACTTTTCAGTTTGATGTGAACTCTATTATTGAAGTTCCTTTCGAGATAGAATGTTTCTGAATCCGAGGGAGACTCTGTTGTTGCCGTCACACTATCTCCATCACCACTGCATGTTAGAAATTGCCCTTCAGAAGTTCGAAACTGAAATACTGACTCAGAAATCCTCCACAACTGTTTAAAATAAGCAAATTAATCAGGTACTATTCTCAAAATCAACAATTTCTAGCTTAAACTCTACTAAAAAGAATCTCTTTTCATCTTATGAACTTTAAAATATGAAGTTCCATAATTGATTTTTAGTGAACTTCAACGCGAGGTTCACTTGAAGCAACAATGTGTTGGTCTAGTCACTGCCTGAGCCACAAAGGACTATCCCGAGACTCCACTTGTGAGATTACACTGGCTGTGTTGTTATTGTTGTTGACAAATCCCAATTTCGCTTCTTGCAAATACATTCCTTCCATTACAATATCGAAACTAATTGGGAATCTAACTGGAAGAGGATCAAATTCATATAGGAGGTCAAATATATGAACCAGAGAGCTAACACAAGGGAGCCAAAATGAAGAAATTCTGGGATTTACAAAGGAACTCGTATAGGTTTGAGGGCGGGAATTGAACTCCATAAGATAGAATCTCTTGTTGTTCCACATTAGCTCAGTTGATAGAATGGTCGGTTATAAACCAATTGGACGTAGGTTCGAATCCTACTTGGAGAGATTTGATTGATTCTGAATTAAAGAATTTAAAATTTTAGGTAACCACAAATTTAGGACATAAAAAAAATAGTATACAACAACATATACAGTGTAATCCCACAAGTGCAGTTAAGAGAGGGTAGAGTCTATGCAGACCTTACCCTTATCTCGTAGAGATAGAGAAGCTATTGTCAATAGACCCTCGGCTTAAAATAAAGCATATCAAGCATCTATTAACAATAAATGATGCAATCACCCAATTAGAGAGACTAAAAGATAGCAACAAAGCAATTTGACAATGCATTTCACCTTAAATGTTTCCCATTCTAATGGATTATCTCTATCCACAGACACATTCATTCCTCCACCATTCTGTGCAGAAATATACTTTTGCAATGTCACAGATTTTAATTGCACCTGTGTTCCATCCTGCATTGCCAAAAAGCTCAAAACTTTTCAATCTAAATAGGAATTTAACAAAATTCCGAAGGGTTGATTTCTCCGACAATCACTTAACTAATACTAGTTATTATCTCAGCAAGTCACATTTCTTCTCCACTCCAATTTTCTTCAAACAAAGAAAGTAACTTTATGAGATAATAACTACTAGTCTAGTGACCATACGAAAAATCAACTCGATTCTAAAGCATAAACAGAATCAATACATACAAGCATATCTCCATTGGGTATATCATCAAAAAGAGAAGGCTTTATCCATCCCTCTACAACTAACCATCCACCCAAGTTCACAGCTCTTACTCTTGCATTTCCATGTAACCCCTCCACTAAAATGTCCCAAAAAAAACCCACATTATCTATTACAACAAAATACATTGTTAAGAATCTAGAAAAAACACAAAAACAAGAAGAAAGACCAAACCTGAATGCCCAACAGAGAAGATAAGCCAACAACAGAGCAAGAAAGCAGAGACCCATTTGGAGAAAAGTAGTTCCATGGAGAAAACAAGCAAAAAATCATATCATAGAAGCAAAATCATTAAACCCCAGAAAGTAAAAAAGCATTCTTGCAAAGAAAGAAGAGAAAAAAAATACTCAAAACCCTTTAAAAATCCCTTCTTTTTCACTGAAAGAGAAGAATCTGAGTAATACCTTCCTTTTCACTCAATCAATTCCACAAAAAAAAACCCTTTTTTGAAATCATAGATTTACTTGTATTTAATTGGATCAGAAAATCTGTATTCAGATAAGGACAAAAGCAACAGTTTTTAAATAAAAATCACTGAAACAAATGTACAGCAGAATAAAAGAACCAATCTTTTTTAACCGTTAGTTTGAGCACACCTCGATAAAATTCATGAACAATTTAATAAGATATATAAAACAGAAATAATATCAAGTATGTCTAGTCCAACAAAAAATTGTAAACAATTAAATAACACAAAGTATGATTGTAAACATTTGAGTTGACAATCGTACGTCCAAATCAAATGTCAAATTGATGTAAACATTAAAGTTGACAAGATATTTTTAATTATATAAACTATAGTCGATGATCGAATCAAATTACAAAATGCTTGTCAACGTTGTGTATTAAAAGTTAGATTGATTCAAAGTTTGATCTATATAAATTGATCACTAAATTCTCAACATTAATCACATCAACACATTGTATACATTTTTCTAAAAGAAATGGCAGAGTGTTCTGTTACCTTTCTGTGTACAAAAACATGTTGTCACATGTAACAATTTTCAAGAAAAGGGATCATGGCGATGGAAAAAAATCAGATATTTCCTTGTCTGAGAAGTTAAACGCGCAAAGTGATAATCTTTTAATGATGTTGGAAGGTATCAAGACTCGTATCGTCATCATTTCTGAAGGACATACAACATTGCTTCAGAAATACGATGTTTTTATAACGAGTGTTGAAAATAGTAATGAACATGAAGATGATCAAGTACGTCTTGATGATGATGTTGAGCTTGTTGGACTTGAAAGTCGTATATTGTTCTCATTTATCGCAATGGTGCTGATTTTTCACATGGTTTCAATGCACTAGGAACATCAAATTTAGGACATATAACTATAATGTATAAAGTCAGGAGAAGATTTGGTTCTATCGAAAAGCTAACATTTCTTCCAGTGTTTACACGGATTTCATGTCATCATGCCTGATAAAAGGTGTTATTACAAGTTTACGATTCTATTTGGGCCTGAAAAACTTGTTGGGGGCCCAAGTCCAGTAACCAAATATATGGGCTTGAGCATACCCTCCCTAACAATAGCAAATATTAGTTCCTTTCTTCGTACACTTCTTTTCATTTTGGGTTTTTCATTCGATGTCCGGTATCTGTATTGGAGTCTGACTAATTCGGATGTGCGCAAGACAGGGCCCTATTCGGAAGGTAGCGCTCCCTACCAAGGATTTTTCCATACTCATAGCTTGAACCCGAAACATCTAGTTAAAGAAGGAATAACCCCATCCACTGCACCACATTCTTTATACACATTAGATTGTCTTCCAATGGATATAACAGAACCTGGAAAACTTGATGAGATATTTGATTTAATGGATGCAAATATTGATGGCAAAGTCACTTTTGATGAGTTTAAAGCTGCTATGCAAAGAGATAGTTCCCTTCAAGATGTTGTACTCTCCTCACTTCGTCCTAATTAATTAGTACTACTTTTATTACTATAATTATATATCTATATTTTAATTTGTACCACACTAATTATATTTATAATCTTTAACTTTTCTTGACATTCATTTTATGATTCCTATTATCTTAATCCTATTATCACTACTCACATCATGAGTAGTTAATTGGGAAGCTTCATCCTACATATAAATATGTTTTTCTTTTTCATTAATAGCTATTATCGCAGGTATTAGTTTCTTATCCTTCAGTTTCTGTTCTATATGTTGATTTCTTTTACCTCAATTACTATATTATTTTGTTGTAGTTTCTATTACTCCCTCCGTTTCAAAATAGTGGCTTAGTCAGTTTAAGGAAAAAAATAAGGTTTTGGTTCTAAATTAAAATTATGTCAAATGTACAAAATTGTCCTTTAATCTTAAGCTGAAATTAAAATGTTACCAAAAAGAAAAAAGATCCATTGTTTTTTAAATAGACTAAAAAGGAAAGTAAGTCATTCTTTTTTAAACAGAAGATTTTTTTTGGTTTTTCATTTGGTGTCCAGTTGTAATGACCCGTAAAGTCACTTTTGGAAATTATCATATAAATTATCATTTTTACCCCTTTTGATAATTGCATGAGTCAATTATTTTGATAAATTGGTGGAGTTGGTTTGGAAGTTTTTGAGCTATTTGTTAATTACAATTATTTAGTGGATGGGTGATTTTTAAATAATTAATTTTAATTGGTGATTAATGGGCCAAGTCCATGTGTAAAACTGAATTACATTAGAAAGGTTTATTACTATTTTGCATAACACAAGTAGTAACCGCTAATCCACGAACGGTGCGGCAACAACACGAAGCCACCACTTTGTTGCAGGTAATTCATCACCACACCAAAATCTTGTACTATGATAATGGATAGTCATGTTATTATTGCTATTATTATGTATTTGGCGTGAATAGAATTGGATTTGAGACTTGGCGTAATTGAGGGCAAGTTCTTGCTACTATCGATAATTGTTTATGGGGATTAGTGGTAAGTGTTGTAAAATTGAATTGATGAGAATATATCATACTAATGTTTTATTTAAAAAAGAAAAACAACTGGTTTTAAGTCGCCACTTAATTTTTAAAGTAAAATTAAGAAAACTATTTTTTAAAATAGAAATCTAATGAAAGTATTTAAAGGGGTTCGATCAGGATTCATATTAACATTTTCAGGAAGGGTTTGAAAGCACCTGAAATGTCCACTAACTTGCGGTTATCCGACAATTAAAATATTTGGCTAATATTTAAAAAATATATGCATACTTGAATAAATAGAGAAAGTATACAACTTTGAACTCATTTCATTTATTTTTTCTTAGGGGAAAGGAAATAAAGGATGCTACTTAAGTAGAAAATACTATATGTTTTGAAGTCAAGAAAAAATATAATGCACTTGTTTGATTTTAACAGTTATGGTTATGTCATCTTTTGGGAACTTGAATTAAGTAAAAACCCTTAAAATTAACTAGTAAATAAACAATTAAACAAATACGAAACAGATAAAATAAAGAGAGAGAGGGTGGTGGGCCCAAGTCTGATTTTCTGTTCGCCTGGATCAGCTCTTGGGCCTAATTTTGTTTTGGGCATTTGACCCATAAAATGAATTGTTTTTCTTTTGGGCCTTAGGCCCAATTCTTCCACATGTCCTAAGAACTAACAAGAGATAATAATGATTGCAAATAAAGGGCTTAGGCCCAACAACAAAATACAAAAACCTAATTTCGAGGCCTTTAGCCCATTTTCCCTTTTCCGTATACACTAAGTGTATACTAGTGCATACGATTTCATAGATCAGCTCCAAGCAACTGTACGTCAAATCAAAGGACCTATTCCTCGATTTCTATAGCTAGTACTCGAATAAGAAGAAATTTGAGCCTTTACAGCTCTCCCGAAATGCAAGAAGGAGATAGGAGTTCGTAGTGAACTCGGACAAATTTCACATGCCACAAAGTAAATGAAAGGAGTTAATATATAATCCAACTAACATAAATGAAAGAAGAACAAACTAACTTAATGGAAAATACACATTTTTTACCCAAGAAAGATGCATACTAACAAACAATCCCACCAAAGGGAATCACACAGAAGCATAGTGGACAACAACAATTTTAAAGAAAGAAAAATAAAATAAAATATACATAGGGGGAGAACATAGTAGTCACTTAAGATTAATGAATTAATATGTTAATTAATAACAAACATAGCCACATAGGAATAGCAAAATGGAGAAAAAGAGTACAACTTAAAGAAAGTCAAAAGCAAAGATAATCACATGGCATCATCAATACTCATTCTTGAGACAAACTGGAAGTAAGGGAGGATATGCTCATGCACTATGCCCTTTATAAAGTTATCAAACTAACAATCCAAACTAAAATGAAAATTAACAGAAACTCTATCGCCTATTCTAACTTAGCTTCAAGAGAAAAAAAAAAAAAACTAGAAGAGATCAACATAGAATCTAAATAAGAGGGCAGATTATTACGCAAATTCTAACTACGATCGGCAGACCCATCAAAAGATAAAATCACTTTAGATAATGCTTAAGCCATGGCCGCAATGATCAAGAGAAAGACAAGCATTATATCATCACAATATTCAAACAAAATTTAAAAATTATATCAAGCATATATTTCCACTGCTTATATAAAAAAACATGTATTATTTGAATAAATCTCAAACTACACGAAGCATTAAGACCCATTTTGTTGTAACTTTGAAGATGAGAAAGTAAGGGTACACTTGAAAATTGTTAAAGATTCAGTGAATAAAAAACAACAACAATGATAGCTTATTTTAGATGAAGCAGAAGAGTGAGATAAAATAGCGACTAAGACACTAAAAAGGTTTAAGCAAAAAATGAGCATTTAATCCCTTCTAAACAGTAACCAAACTTGAACAAGAATGAAGGTGGTAACAACATGTAATCAGCAAATACTTGAGAAATCTAAAAGAAAACACAATATAACATAGCAAAGACAATCATCGAGCTGATTTAGACATTCAAACTAAAACATCACTAAAGATATTTAGACAGAAGACATAGGACAACCACATAACAAGACTTTCCAACATCGGAAGAATCACATCAAAATACAAAAAGAGACTGGAAGAATGTTATAAAGTAGAAGACGTTACCTTTTTCTGGGCAGTGAATCGAGATGACGAGCTTAGAGGAGTACTTTCCAAGACCTTGGATTCTCAAAACAAAGGAGCGAAACCAGGAAACTAGAGCGAATATATTGAACAAATATTCCCCGAAACTCGAACTTCACCGGAAAAAGCTTGAATGAAAGCTTTCAGAGTAGAACCTTAAAGAGTTCGCACCAAAAAGGGATTCTAGATTATCTAAATCAATTTTTTTTTCTAACTCTTTGTTCTATTCTATCTTTTTTCTCCAACTGGTTATTGCCAACAGTTTTTCCCAATTTTCTTCCATCACCTAACAATGAAGATGAGGAGGCTTATATATAGATGAAAATAGGGCACGATTTTTGGGGGGAAACGG